CTATTCTGCAGAACTGACCTCTCCACATCATAACCCTTACACCGCAGTATTACATGCTCTACTGTCTCCATCTCCTCCTGGCATACTCCACAAAGCCCCGTCTCATGTTCTCCTATCATCTGTAGTGTTTTATTTAATGCACAATGTCCCAGTCACGTGCAGTCACGTGACTCAGCAGCACATTTTAACCACATGGGGTATGTTCCAAAAGTTCCTCCATTCTCCTTTTTTCCTAACTTCTTTTCATTGGCCTTGATGAAAACGTCATCGTAGGAAGAAGAATTGCTAAGGACTCAGGAAAAGCAAAGAGCGCTGCTGAGAATTGGAACAGCCTTACACCCGTCTCTCTGTAACAATGTTACGCCCGGAAGGACTCTTATGGAGGACTGCAAGAGACACACACATGGAATTAAACAATTCTGTCCTTCAGGTCCTTGAGGTGGTCGAATCGATGTCTATGGTCTTTTGTGTGTATTTTCTGATGTGTAGAACTGAAGAAGCTTCTCGGATGAGAGGTGAAACGTCTTCAAGCAGCTTAAAGAAGTCCAGACGCTTTTCTTTGCAAGCTCCTTTGACTACGATGACCTGGATGACTGAGAACCTTCACAGACATTTTCTGGTCTTCTTAATATCCATTTTAGTGTGGTTTCAGCTAACCAAGAATAAGAATTACGTTGTCTGGAAAATGCAATATTTAGAATTAATAAGCGGAGCTGGACACACCCACTACTTCACTCCATGCAGCCGGAAGCGGAAGTGAATCATTTGTAGTGATGCCGCCTCTTTTAATGACTTTACTCAGGGTTATCTGCAACCGCTGTAAATAGGCAGAAGGCTTTTCACCTGAGTTCTGGTTTGTGCTCAAGAATTTGGCAAAAAGCTCATCCCCATCATCAACAGTGCCATAGGATATGTCAAGAAAAATTTACACTGGCTTCCTATCAAATATCGAATTGATTTTAAAATCCTATTGTTTACTTAGAAAATTTTAAACAATATGGCACCTGACTACTTAGCTGATCTCCTCTGTCTGTACAGCCCTCAGAGAGCACTAAGATCATCGGGCCAACTGCTCTTGGTGCAACCTAGGTCTCGGCTGAAGACCAGAGGAGACCGTGCCTTTGCCGTTGCTGCACCCAGGCTATGGAATACTCTCCCTCTTCATATTCGCGCGTCAGATTCCATTCAGTCTTTTAAATCACATTTAAAAACGTATTTGTTTGATCTGGCATTTAAGGCGAATTAGGGTAATTTACATCTGGCTCTGTATTTAGATTATGGAATTATCTTATATTTTAGATATTTGTAATTTATATTTTATTGTGATTTTATTTGTACTGCAATTTTACTGGAAAGCACTTTGGTGTACTTCGGTCTTAAAAATGTGCTATATAAATAAATTTTGATTGATTGATTGAAGAAGGCTGATATAATCATGAAGCGTTAGGACCACAGTGCTTTGCAATGTCAGCAGTTGGCGGAAGAAGGCTCTCAACTATTTTCGTTACCTTAAGTTTGTCAGATATGGTACGATCTGTGAGGGGGAATTCAACATTGTTGCGCCACGTATCATAATCAGCTTCGAAAGTAGAGCAAGGGGTTTTCTCCGAGAAGGGCCTTTGCGTGACCTTGAGAAGGCATTTCATTGTTCATAATGACATCCTCAACTACTACTCTCTGTACTTCAGGTGGAGTGAGCTGTTCAGGTGGTAAGTAGATAGTGGTTGTTCTGTGCGAGGCAGTCACCTCTACACTTGGAGAGGATGAGTGAGAGCCATGCTCAGGCGAGTGGGTTGAACCACTGCCCAATTTAACAGGACTTTGATCCTCAATGATGGTTGGTTCATCTCAGTCTGTGTCACTAGTGAACTGCGGATTTTGACTAGGCACTGATGCATTTGGTCCAACTGTGGGGTTACTCTCAGTGGACTTCTTCATTTTGGCCAGCTCACCTAATAAAACCTCAAAATCTGCACCACTCAGTTCGGCAAGACCTTTTAGTTCAGTTAGGTAAGAATGGATTAAACACGAACCCCTGTCTGCAGCATACAGCCAGACAGAAGCTGGATATGATGGACAACACTTGGGTTATGGCTTTGTCTTTTGCAAGGTAAGCTATCCTTAAGGAACTGGACTGGTTCACCTGATTGGAACTCCACAATGGCTGTGTTTTTAAAATGTGCCTCTGTGCTAGTTATTTTAATTACTCTTCCAATGGAACCAAACTACCCTAAGTAATCAATAACCTCATTGTCAACCTCATCACCTGTTACCCTCCTACTAGGACAGAGTTAGGTACTTTGACACCTTCAGTTTGGATTACATCCATGTTCTTATTACTCCAACCCAGAATGTCATTGACAAATGTAATGATTTGACCCAAAAGGCATGAAAGCACCAGTTGCTAAACTTCCAAAAATAAAAGGAATTAAACCTCCTGGCTGGTGCGCCACATTTGTGTAGCACCTCTACTCAGGACCAGTACACTTTCACTTCAAATAGAGACCCTAAACATCTTACTAGGTTCAGAAGGAGGTTTTGTTTTGGAGACTCACAAAAGGAATTGGCTTGGAAATGAACAACTGAGACCTTTATTGCCTCAGTACCATTCATAAACATATACAGCACAATAAACCAAACTGCACACTAATAGTGCATTTTAAAGGTGAATAGATATAAAGCAGAACCAAATAAAATAAAGACAGTCGAATGAAAGACTTATACTGAATTGTATCAGAACTCTTTTGAATGAATAAAACGGATGGAAGTGTTCCCGTTGTGAAGTTTGAATTGTCCAGTCTGAATTGTCCTTTAAAGTTGTTGAAACCCAAACAGGTGTACTGTAGCGGAAGTGTCAGTGTGCAAACCCTATTATCTGGGATAGGGCTTGTCTGAAATACAGGGATGCTTGAATCAGTTTCTCAGGCAAATCCTACAATCCGATCGCATGGCTGGCCACATCATTTCATGATCATTCAGGATCTCATTTGGGCTGTTCTCGCCGTCAGTGGTTCTCCAGAATCCTTTCTAGTAGTTCAAAAAACCAATCTACACAAACAGTGCAGAACAATGAATTTCTTTTCCATCTTGTGTTCTTAACATGAGCTCATGAACTTCTTTTCCAAATGTATTAATAACAAATGGCATTCCATTTAGCTTTACCAAGTTACAAGAGTTACAGTAACTTGTTTGTACCAGTATCAACTATTTTATCACAATAAAGAACATCAGCAGCTTAAACAGTAATGTAAATAGTCATTGCAATCAAGGTGACATTCATCCGTAAGGCTAACAAGCAAAGGTAACTTAATTCACAGTGCAAGTACTAATGAACTTGAAATATGCTCATTTCTATTAAGACTTAACCATTCTAATATAAACAGAGCTAGTGCTTCTATCCGAATACCTCCCCGATCGGAATATGGCTTCGTGGGGGTAGGGTAGCTAACAGCTATTAGCAGCTAGCATCGGCAGTAAAACACCTTTAGCTCAAAGCATTCAACACTTATAACACACTGTGAAGAACAACAAGAAAAGTAAAACAACACACCAAATTTGATGAACAAACGGCATGTCACTCACTGGGATATTCCAACACAAATAACTGGACAGACGTTATTCCCTTTGTGGTCAGAGTTCGGGGCCTAATAAAAGAGTAGCTTATTAGCATTTATACGTAAAACAATCTGGTCTCATTAATCAGGTTACCAAATACTTTTCGGTGAGCTCCGACACACACTTGACTGCCATCAGAGAGGGAAGATCTCATAGGAAGAGACAGGTAATGCTTCCTGCGCACTAGACGCACGGTTGTCAGAACACAAAACTGCATTACAGCACCCCCTTCTGACAATAACAGGCTATAGCCTTAGATAAAAAAAAGAAGGGGGGGGGGGATTTTACGGACCTGTATTTCACATGGGTTACACTATTATCTAACAATTCTCAGCCTGTAATTTTGTACTTACTATATAAGTCTAGGATATTCTGTTCAGACTAATTTGGCGCAGGAAAATTGCACCCTGACTTAAACTGGCTATGATATCTAAGCATGTTTGGAAATCCCTCTGCAGCTCTACATGTCAGTCTCAATAATTCAGTTCAATCATAGAGCCAAATTCACTCTTTTACCCATTATTACATGGAGGGCCAACTCTTAATGAGAACCATTGCAATGTATATATATATAAAAAAAATTAAAAAAAAAATTCACTAAATGAACTTTATTTAATCACTATATTCCTAACATGCACAGACAGTGAGTGACTTCTCTCTGCATGTCTTATTTTCATCTTTGACCTTCACTGCGATGTCTGGGAGCCCGTCCCCTTCTCTCTGCCTCTCACACATCCAGTAGCAGGCCATGTTTGTGCCTTCATGAGCTGTACCATCCAGTGTTTTGCTTTATTAAGTCTTTATTATCAATTTTTTTGTCAGTCTCGTATTTACATTTTTCTTTATATCCGGGAGATCTCTCAATCTTGCCAAATCCCATTACACACAATGTACATATGTTTGCACTTCACATCTCCTTTAGCCCATTTTTAGAGACTCAAGTTCATTTATCAACACTTAACTGTTGGAATATTTCCTAAAAATAAACTGAACGTTGAAACCAAATATTTCCTTGGATTTATTGAAATGAATATTTGCAAAGCAATCAAAACAGCACAATCTTCACACCAGCATTGACAAAAATATCACCTCTTTTATACTCCTTGTATAAATTGTATCCTACCTACACCCGTTTTCACACCTTCTCTTGTGTGATTAGGTAGAGGATCATTAGGAGGTCCCTCTAAGGGGGACGCTCCCACAGAGCTTAAATCTGGAACTCTCCACCATTTGACCTTAGACCTGAAGAAGATTCTCGGTTGAGAGGTGAAATAATCTTCAAGCAATTTAAAGAAGTCCAGATTTTTAGGGTCTGTTGCAGAGTGAAAGTTTTTCCACAAAAGGTCACAGTGAAACTCTTTCCCACCACCACAGTGATGACAGGGTTGAGAACTGGATCCTTCTGTGTCGGTCTGCTTCTAAACAAAGACACAAAGACAGTGTAAGTCAGGGAATTCCTTCAACATTTTAATTCTGAAAGTGGCCTGAAATAAAAAGTAAGCTGATTCTGAGGGGGTCAGGTGGGATACACTGATTGGTTTTAGTTAGATGACCCTCCCGTTGTTCATTTAGTAAATACAAGTAAAATGGATTGATTCTTATAAAGCACTTTTTTACTCTGCCTGAGCACTCAAGGTGCTTTTTACAACACGGTAAAGCACTTTGCATGCTAGAGTAAAGTGACCTGGTACTGAGACTCAATAAATGTCTTTGTTGTAGAGCAACCTTTCTACCAGTGGTAGGCAACCTTTCTGATGATGAGTGCCATCTAAAATTTCCTCAAAAGTCAATTTACCATATCAACAATTGCATTAACAATAAATTTAATAATGCTGCATATCAACAGTTACATAACTGCTAAGTGCTACATAACTTTGCACTTTTGCTGTAACGAGACAAATTTCCCACCTGTGGGACTAATAAAGGTCATCTTATCTTACACACTATATAGAACAACTTCATAGAAATAGATTTGCTATATTTCAAAAAAAATTTTTTTATCCATAACAAGAACACCATAACAGCAAAGGAACTATACAAACAGAAAATGCAGATGCTATTAATGGTCGCCTCACAACAATGGTAAATGGCCTGTATAGCGCTTTACTTAATCCCTATGGACCTTGACACTGCATTCAGTCATCCACCCATTCACACACTGGTGATGGCAGCTACATTGTAGCCACAGCTGCCTTGGGCGCGCTGACAGAGGCGAGGCTGCCGGACACTAGCGCCACCGGGCCCTCTGGCCAACACCAGTAGGCAACGGGTGAAGTGTTTTGCCCAAGGACACAACGACCGAGACTGTCGGAGCCGGGGCTCGAACCGGCAACCTTCCGATTACAAGAAGAACTGCCAACTCTTGAGCCACATTCGCCCCAAAAACAATGATAAGAAAAAATAAACTGGGCTAATATGACTTATCTTTAAACAAGGATTTGCAGATTAATGTGATCCCTGCCGCTGCTTTGTATTTGAAAGTTGTGTTATCTGGGGATCATATTTTGTAACTCGTTGAGGTGTCCCGTTATATCAGCGAGAAAGAAACATTGTCAACCCATCTTGATGCATGCTCAATCATCCAGGTAAGTAAACCTCCAAAAATTGATTCTGTTCATCTGGACATATAATTTTGTGGGAGAAACGTTTCGTCACTCATCCAAGTGACTCCTTCAGTCTCAGCTGACTGCAAGTTTCCCCCAATCTTATAAACAGTACATTTGCATAATGGTCAGTGGTTGTTGATCAATGGTCATGAGAATCTGCATAATTAAGCTTAAGGAACTGAACTCCCAGCACATTGTTCCTTCAGTGGGCTGGTTTCAGTCATTATCTAAATGCACTGTTTCCAAAATTCCAAAATTGAGTCCAGTAGAATTACTAACATTCGAACACAATTTAATGAGCACAGTTGAACGAAACAGTCAGTCTTAAACAAGAAGATAATAATATACATACATACCTCACAGTAACTGCACTTGCAGTTTCTTTCTGGTGTGGCTCTGTTGGTGGATTTTAAGGTAACGTGGCGCTTTAAAAGTCTTCTCACACAGGTCACATTTATAAGGTCTCCCCACAGTGTGGGTAAACATGTGGCGTTCTAAGTCTTTATATCTCACAAACAGTTTCCCACACTGATCACAGCAGTAAACGTCATTTCCAGTATGAATGCGGAGGTGAATATTTAGGCTGCCTAGCAAGTGGAAGGTTTTTCCACATATGTGGCAGCTGTACGCCTTAAATCCAGAGTGGATAACTTGATGACGCTGTAAGAGGCCACTGTGAGTAAAAGCTTTACCACACTGATCACAACTGTATGCTTTAACTCCACTGTGGCTGAGTTGGTGTCTTTTTAAGCTTCCAGCCTGGGTAAAAGATTTTCCACACAAGTCACAGGTGTATGCTTTAACTCCACTGTGGATGAGTTGGTGTGTTTGTAAGTTTCCAGCCTGGGTAAAAGATTTTCCACATAAGTCACAGGTGTATGCTTTAACTCCACTGTGGATGAGTTGGTGTCTTTTTAAGCTTTCAGCGTGGGTATAAGATTTTCCACAAAAGTCACAGGTGTACGCTTTAACTCCACTGTGGATGAGTTGGTGTCTTTTTAAGCTTTCAGCGTGGGCAAAAGATTTTCCACACAAGTCACAGGTGTAAGCTTTAACTCCACTGTGGACGAGCTGGTGTGTTTTTAAGCTTCCAGCGTGGGCAAAAGACTTTCCACACAAGTCACAGCTGTATGCTTTAAATCTACTGTGGATAAGTTGGTGTGTTTGTAAGTTTCCAGCGTGGGCAAAAGATTTTCCACACAAGTCACAGGTGTACGGTTTAATTCCACTGTGGATGAGATGGTGTCTTTTTAAGTTAGCAGCAAAAGTAAAACTTTTTCCACACAAGTCACAGCTGTATGCTTTAACTCCACTGTGGATGAGTCGGTGTGTTTTTAAGCTTTCAGCGTGAGTAAACGATTTTCCACACAAGTCACAGGTGTACGGTTTAATTCCACTGTGGATGAGATGGTGTCTTTTTAAGTTAGCAGCCAAAGTAAAAGATTTTCCACACAAGTCACAGCTGTATGCTTTAACTCCACTGTGGATGAGTTGGTGTGTTTTTAAGCTTCCAGCCCGGTTGAAAGATTTTCCACACAACTTACAGATGTAAGCTTTAACTCCACTGTGGATGACTTTGTGTTTTTTTAAGTTTCCAGCCAGGGTAAAATTCTTCCCACACTCGTCACAGCTGTATTTTTTCTGCCCCTTTCTTCTGTGAGGTTTGTCGGCCTCCTGAGAGCGCTGACTTCTCGCTCCATGTTGGTCCTGCAGTGACAGAGATACAAACAGAGGCAGTGAGTGAAATGCAGTCGTGGAACAAACTGACTCCATTAGTGGAATCAAAGATGTCAACAAACACGTCGTAGGTGTGTTACCACCACCTTCTAGTGATAGTATGACATTACAATTATGAGCTACAATGAGAGTTGTAACTTGCACACAGGTTCAATAACAGAGATATTCTTGCTCACCTTTTGGGTTGAAGTCATTGTTTCCTCTGTAGTGGCTGAGCTGAGTCTAAATGGCTCGTCTCCTCCTGATGATCAGCTGGAACAGTTAACAACAGTGGTGAGAAACTGCAGTAATGAACCTCCACTGAGTAACTGCAGTTTGGTGCTTCATTTGAACCTCATAGATTTTATTAAACAAAATGGATAAAAAATACTCTACAAAACAGAAGGTGAGCTGATAGAGTATCATCATCTCAAACTACATCAAGATTCTCAGACCATGTCACGGTTCACTTGATCCCTGCAAACAGGCACAAACTGAAACTGTCTAAAGCTTTTGTGAAGACACTCAAGCAGTGGACTGATGAGGCTGTGGAGAATCTGCAGGTGTGTCTGGACTGCACCGACTGGGAGGTTTTCAGGATTGTTACCAACAGTTTGGATTATTATAGAGATGCTGTGACGTCCTGTAACATCAGCATCTGTGAGGAAGCTGCACAGCATCACACACCAGGGTGAGTTAGAATACTGACCAGCTCTGGTTCACAGCTAAGCTAAAGGAGCCTGAGGCTGGAAAAGCAGGAAGTGTTTCAGGCAGAGGCGGAGGCAGACATTTGATACACCCAGGGCTTAGCCCTAAAGGGTGGGGTGGGGGGTGGGGGGTTTAGAAATGACTGAAAGATTAATAGGCTCCGTTTTGGCAGGCAAGGCAGAACAAAACCAGGGCTGTATCATGACACGCGGACTAAACCCCAATTCAACCAGACCCAGAACTGATCCGGAATTAAAACAGGACTAATGAGGATTTAACCAAGACAGAACCAGAATCAGAACTAGATGATAGTAGAACTAAAAATCATCATAGACCTGAACTACACTTATTTTTTAATTCTACCAAAGTCCACTATTTAGATTGAGAAAAGTTTATATAATTATTTAGCCTTGTTGTGCAAACAAGCTGCATAACTTAATAAATATAGAATTTGAAAAATAACAAACCTAAAAAGAAACACTAGGTACGAGATACATGAGGACCTATGATACAGTGATACTTTTGGTAAACAACCATTTGACTAACACAGGGGTGGGCAATCTCAGTCCACGAGAGCCGGTGTCCCTGCAGGTTTTAGATGTGTCCTCGAACCAACACAGCTGATTTAAATGGCTAAATTAGCCCCTCAACATGTCCGGAAGTTCTCCAGAGGCTGGTAACGAACTAATCATGTGATTCAGGTGTGTTGACCCAAGGTGAGATCTAAAACCTGCAGGGACACCGGCCCTCGTGGACTGAGATTGCCCACTCCTGGACTGACATGTGTGTCTCACCTGCTCTTGTTCCATCTCTGTTCTGTCCTCATTCTCCTCTCTCTCCCTCTCTGTGCTAACAATCAAGCCAAACACCAACATCATCAAATATACAGTGGAAACCAGATATTTACACACTCTTCGGATAAAAACACTTTCTTAATTGTAACATCAAATCAGACTAAATGTTTATTTTTTTTAGATTGATAAATATAAAAAACACATTTGTTAACTTTAAGAGTAAAGAGAGAAACTATCTGTATTAATTGTAAATGGCACCAAATTGTATTCAAACTTGAGCCACACTTATGGAGCTCCACAGTTGTCTTCCTGGGCCCTATTTCAGGAAGCCGGTTTAGTGGAAAATCTGAGTAAGTATACCCTGAGTTAACGAAAACTCTGGGTTTTCGGGTTCACAAAGCGAGTTCAGATGAATCCTGAGTGAGTCACTATGACGACACACTCCGTGAAGCTAACCTGCCCCCTAGCAGGTTTACTACAACTAACCCTGACTGTCTCCGCCCCTTTGTCGGAAACCTGACAGTAGGAAGTGTCGGACATGGCGTGCCCCGTCCTTGAAGAGCCAGTAGATCGTGAAGCCCAAATTCTCCGCAGAGCTCTCCGCCGGGAGAGAGTGATCAGAGCGCGTTTGGACATTTTATCATTTCCTGATGAGTTTCTGTGCGAACGTTACCGTTTCTCAGCACAATCTATAATTTATTTGGATAACATCCTCAGGCCATATATTACGCATGTGACATCGCGGACATGCTCTCAGTTCATTACATATTATTTGTATTGCACTTCGGTTTTTTGCAAACGGGAGCTTTCTGTATAATATTGGTGACGCTGAGCACGTTTCCAAGGCTACCGTCTGTCGGGCAGTCAGGAATGTTACAGTTGCACTGAAACGTCTCCTGTACTCGTTTGTGGTGTTCCCCGGTCATAGACCCACAAGATTCATCAAAGAGGGATGCCACAAAGTTGCAGGTATCAGGATGACCAAAACTTAATTTATGATGTGGTGATACTTGGACTACTACTTAAATTTTACATTTATTTTCACGGTTCCCAGGCGTGATTGGCTGTACAGATGGCACTCACATTCCAATCATTGCTCCTTCAGTAAATGAAGGAGACTATGTGAACAGGAAGTCTTTCCACAGCATTAATGTACAGGTACATAGTTCCCTGTAGCATTTCAAACTAACAAATTATTTCATTATAGTAATGGATGCTAATTTGTGTTCTCTGCACTGTGAAGATCATATGTGATGCTGCCAACATTATCACAAATGTGGAAGCCAAGTGGCCAGGCTCTGTCCATGACTCACAAATATTCCGTGAATGTACACTGAGCACAAAATGTGGACATGGTGAGTTGAGAATACTTTAAAATATATAAAGACCAATTGCTTCAGAAGTGTATCCTTCTGTCTTAGGAGAGTTCACTGGCTACTAGGGCTGGGCCATATTATACCGTTCACGGTAATACCGGTATAATGTTAGGCAATGATAGGAAAATGAAATATTGCGATAGAATGGGAGTAAAACGCGCATGCGCAGTGCCTTTGTTTTCATATGCACATGGCCGATTGTTGAGTGAAACAGATGAACCAGAATTGGTTTGTAAAAATGGTGCAACTTCCGTGATGTGGAACTGGTTTGGTGTTTGTCCGTCAGATACACAACAAAGCACATTTTTTTGCAGAACATGCAAGCGGCCGTTGTTATTGTCATATTTGTCGGACTAAGATGCTCTTAAATCTGGGAGTAATCTGGGTCCTAAACTCCGTATACTTCAGGTCAAACAACACTGCAGCATCACTTAGAGTTAAAAACTGTCTAAATTCTTTCATCTTTAATAAAACGATCAGCATTGCTGCTTTACCAGGTGTAACTATAAAGTTTAACTTCCAGGCATCCATGAAAACAAAAGTTATTACATTTAACGGAGTTAGAAGTTAGCAGGAAGCTAGCGGAAGTTAGCTCGCTAGTTTCGCTAGTTACCTAAGCATGATATTGCATGTTCTGACTGAGAGATTTCTGAAAAAAATCAAACGTACAGCTCTGCTATCACTTCCAACATAAATGAAGACAGGAAACTAAACAGCAGTGACGTTTGTAGGGTTACTGAAGTTGGGCTAGCTGGTATATAATGATGTGCTACGTGATCGCTAGCGACACAGCTATGTTAGCATAACATAAACAGTGAAGCTGGAGGACGAACACTAACACTTTTCCACTTATAAAAGTTAACGTGAAGGTTCTTCATGGTTAGAAACAAATGCAATCGCATGGCAGGATGCTGTAAACGGACCAAACTTCAGTCAGGAGAACAACTGAGATAATCCATCCACAATACGAGGTTAGTCATTAATATACTGCAACAACAAGGGAATAGAGCAGCTGCCAGAGAATTCAACATTAATGAATCAATGGTACAGAAGTGGAGGAAGCAAGAAGAATGAGTTTAATAAAGTTTGATTTATCTGACTGCTTTGTTTCGCTTAATGTGCCTTATAATCCCGTGCACCTTATGGTCCGAAAAATACGTACTGCACACTGCAGTTTAATGTTGCAAAGCACCTCTTTTTAACTTCAGTGGATATTATACATGGTTATGCTCAGGATATGTCAGCCCATTTCTACTGGAAATGCCTTTTGGTTAAACTTTCAGCAAGGAATTTGCATTTGCACTGTTAGATTTTTATAAAGCTTTAATGTACATAAAAACCAGCTTCTTGTTTAAGTGAAAATAAATGGAAGGTTGTCTTTTTGCGCTAGTAATGTTGTGGAGTTGTATTTTGTCTCGCATCAATTATATCGTCGGTTATATCGTTATCGCAAATTTTCAAATATATATCGTGATAAATATTTTTGGCCATATCGCCCTGCTCTACTGGCTACTTGCTTGGTGATAGGGGGTATCCATGTTTACCCTATTTGCTTACCCCTTACCCTGACCCTGAACCGGGCCCACAGCAGCGATATAATCTGGCTACCGTATTTTCACGACCATAAGGCGCACTTAAAAGTCTTAGATTTTCTTCAAAAAGTGCGGCGCGCCCTATGTGTTGTAAGGAGGACGTAGTAGAGAACACCATGAGAACGTTAAAGGCTGAAGTGTGGGCGTTGATCGTATATACCGGGACAATCGCACATACCTGTATAAAAGAACAGGTATGTGCATTATGCAGGACATCGTTGTTTTAACAACCC